AGAGATGCTAACTCCTTGTTTGGAGAGCTGCTTCATTTGCTCTTCCTACCACCTCAGCGCCTACCTGAGGATTTCGAGAGCCTGCAGAGCCTGGCAGGGGCTGCTGGGGGTGCAGCCTGGTGGAAGTAGGCAGTGGTCACTGAATTTATCAGCTCCTCTGCCTCATCTGTGGCTCAGTTGCATTTGCTGGAGGAAAAGCCAATAAAGTCTTTCAGGGAAAAAGTCTTTATTTGCTGTCTACCCCTGATTTGCCTAAATTGCCCTCTTCCTCACTCCTTTTGTTGCTTTAGTCTTTCTTTTCCATGACTGCCTTTGCTGCAAGGGGCTTTCTGCTCCCTGCTTTTCCCTCTTCTTGGATGTGTAAATGTGAACAGTGTTGACCTGTTGCAGCCCAAAGAGAGCTCCCCAAGCACCTCAGGCTCCCAGTAAAACCAGTGTACCAAGAGCAGAGAGGGCCCCCAGCCCGTTTGTTTCGAGTCATTAGCTGTGACCCTTCTTAACATCCGTGGTGTTCATCTCCATTCTTCCACTTGTGAGTTACGAGGTTATCAGTGACTTGTGATACCTCTGCGTGCAGAGTGAGGCGGTGATACGAGGAAGGTCTGGCTGTAGCTCTGCTGTCTTGGATGTGTCTGTACAAATATAACAGCATTGCATTCCCCAGTAACAACAGCTCGCGTTCCTGGGGTGCAGCTCAGGGGATGAGCTGGCTACATCGCTCATGAAAAGCACTCAGCTCAACCTACTTCAGAGAAGACTTGGGCAAGGCTAAGGTGGATGGGGAGAAGGTGAATCTTGATGCTGGAAAATTGCACTGTGGTGAGCAAAGTCCTGGTGCTCTAAAAGTGTTCGGGAGTTTGGATGTTGCCTTATTTTGGAAGAAAATATACCCTAGGACTCTGGAGTCACTTCTAACCTGCTGTCCATGTAAGTCAACAGGTCGCTGCTGCAAAGCCACCCTCCATCTTTCCCTGACACAGCAACACCACCAGGTATCAACGTGATTTCCCACAGAGGCTCACGTGCCAAGCTGGCAGCCCAGACCATGTTGCATCTCTCGTCCCAGAGGCTAATGGCTGTCCCAGGCTGCAGCAAACAGGGCATGGAGAGAAGGGAAAGCAGAGAATAAAAGAGAGGCGACTGTGTCTGGGTAGGGAAAGGAATTTGAGCAGGAGCTAGGAAGGACATCTGGGAGCCAGATTCTTCTCTTTGAGCCCATGGCAAGGAGCTGGCTTGGAGAAATGAGAAGCGTCCTTCTTTCTCTGCTGTAACTTGCAAAATGTGATAAGAGTAGGTGATCTAGGTTGTAGGAGAAGGTGGCATCTAGGGAAATCTTTGTGCTTTTCATGTCTTCTAACTTGATGAATAATCTTATGGCCATTTTAGCACAGAAAGGCAAACTTTCAGGCCCTGCCTTGCCCTCTGCACTGCACATCCTGTAGCAGACGTCCATCCCTTGGGGTGGTGCAGGGGGACCTGTAGCACTGACTGGCGTTGGGTGGTAGAATTAACAAAATTAAAGCCAGTTTTCATCAGAACAGAGTGGGTTGATGTGGCTCAGGAGTGGATTACCATCACAGCTGCTCTGAGCTGCACACCAGGAGTTCAGGGGCAGACAAAGAAGCCAAGCAGTGAAGCTCTCTGCTGTTTTTCTCTCTTTTGCCTCGCAGCAGGGACTGAGCCAGGGGATGGGAGTGTAGGCGTTGCAGAGGTTCACGTGAGTGTATAGTCTCTGGCATGAGTAATTTGTTGGACTGGGTTGCCTTATGTTTGCTTTTTGTCGAACTCACGTTGGCCGGGCCAAAGATAGCATCCTTTTTCTTTTTAAACCCGTTTTTCCATATTCTGCTGGCTGAACAGGAGGGCGTGCAAGCGACATGCCTGCAACAATGCCATAAATCCAGACAGAAATAGAATTAGCAGTTCTTTCTGGTTCCACTGTTTGTATCTGCGAGGTCGTGGGCTTAACCAGTCTGGGTTCCTCGGAGCAGAGCCGTGTCTGTGCGAACCTGTTGTGCCTTGGGACCCGGCGCTTGGGTTTTCTTCCAGAGTAATATCATAAAACTTTTATAGCAATGTCATGACAAAGAGCATGAGAAGAAAAATAACTTAACCCCCCTCTTGCTAAAGTTAGGGTTGGAAATTCTTCTCCTGTTTCCACGTGCAGCAAATCCCTTGGTTGAATCTGGAGTGCTGTGAGGACAAAAATGTGAAATTTGTGGAGATGGGGAAGAGAGAGCAAGCAGAAACCTGTCTGTGCAAGGATTACCATTTCTTAGATGTTCTTAAAGTCCAGTCCTCTCCCAATTAGGCCCTTACACATATCGGTAGCATTATTCGTTGGCACTGTCCTACTGCATTGTGCTCCAGCATTTGTAGAATTGGGCTCTTAATCTATGTTGATTATGTTTTAATTGAATAAATAAATCTTTTACAGAGCCCAGAATCAATCGAGATGTTTCCATGCCATTTTGTTTTATTTTTCTAGGTTTCCTAAGGACATTTAACTTTTACAACCTTACAACTTGTTCTGCAGCATTTGCTAGTCAGCTATTGCGTAATTGTTCTGGGGAATGAGAACCTGGGAATAATATGGCCCAGAAATGCTAAGAAGCAGAAATGAAATCGGCTGATCTTCTCATCTGCCACCATCCCTCCTCTCCAGAGTCGGGTACCAAACAGGCCATGTGTGGCCTCCAGTTTTATTCCTGGGTCTGCCATTGACTTGATTTATCACATCAAATGTTGGGCCTTGGGTGCCCTTTGCATCTTCTCTCCTTTCCAGGCTGGCTTTTGGCTGCCTCAGCTTAGAAATTCTCTGGAGTGGAGCAATCATAGTTTTTGTGTCTGGGAAGCCTGTGGCTGCCCTGTAGTTATAGGCCAACAACTGGAGGATGGAGAAAAACCAAACAACAAGAGCCATGAAGTGCACTAATAGTGGAAAGGAAATTGTACTTTTGCAGATTTAAAAATCCAGGTGCCTACAGCTAGCCAGGAGTAATGGTCTGGGGTAATTCCTGTGAAAAGTATTTCTTTTTTTGAACAATAGTTTGGATGGAAAAACTTTGGCTCTATAATAAAAATAAGCAAGAAGAATTGAGTTTGTAAGTAGTTTCTAACCTGACTCTCAGCCTTTTAAATGACGTGTTCTTGCATAAAGCACATTGGAGCTTCCATTTTCGTGTTAGTCAAGCCAAATTTATTGTAATCCAATAAGATTTAATAATCATTAGGAACTAATGAATGCCTTAGCACGTATAAGCTTGGCAGATCAGAGCCTGACTGCTTTGCATAGTCTGTCTCTCTTTGACCAACTTGCCATTTATGTGTCGGATTGATGACTGGGGAGTTCTGTAAAAGAGGTAATGATTGAATGCTCCTGAAATGAAATTTAAATAAAAACTATCTGGAACAGCCAGTGAGCCAAAGGAAAAGGCGAATTTTTGGCTTGAAAAATTGAAGTAACTTGGTGAGAGTGAAGGCAAACAGAGCTGGATTGTCTGTGGGGAGTGCTGGTATGGTCTGAACAGGCTTTACAGTTGAAATTAGGTGAGTTGTTAGGTAATTCTTTAGCATTTTTATTATTGTAGTAGCCAAGCTGCGAATGAGCTCTTCTGCACTGAGCTCTGTAGTTGCACGTACGCGGAGAGACTCTGTCTGGGGGATTTGCAGATAAGTCAGACATGGAAGGACAGAAGAAAAATATTGACTATGACTCAGGTTGAGAAAAGACTTTCAATGTGTAATATTTCACTTGACTCAAGAACTTCGGTTCTTGCGCATGCCCTAAATATGGGCTGGCTCAGTGAGGCCGGCTCCTGGCACCTATGTCGCACCTGATAGGGATCCTTAGCTGGTTTTCTTTAAATTCTTATTCCTGACAGAGCTGCATAATTTCCAAAGCACTGAAAAGACCGAGGAGGGAGATGTTTCCTAGCTTGTACCCGCCTTTGTGCACTGCTGGGAGGTACTGCTGTTGGGTTGGGCTGTACAGCGCAGAGGTTCTTCCCACAGGTTTTGGGCTATGTTAATTTTTCAAAAACAAAGTGTGGGAATGAGTCCTCTTTTAAAATGCTTATTCTAGCAGGGATTGCAGTGTAGCTCTTCAACAGTGGCTTGGGGATCACATACTCTCCTGCGGTGCCAAGACCTGGGTTTTACTTTTGGGTGTGGGTGGTGGTGATGAAAATTCATGTCTCTTCCCTTCCAAATGTGTGTCTCTACCAGCCTGGGTGCAAGTGAGGCTGGGCTGTTATGAAAGCTGAAAGAAAGCAAAATGTATTAAATTGAAAAGGGTCCTGGCTGTAGGCTGGTATTTGCTCTGAGCATGGGCTTTCCTGCGTAATAGCCCTTTTCACAAGGACTTATTTTGTGACCACTTATTGCAAATCATGTCCTTCACCTTGAATCTGCTAGAAAAGGATTGAGCTTTTTCACTTCTCCTTGAAGAAGTTCCTATTTTTTAGATGGAAATTGTGAAGAAGTGTTGAATCAGACAGGTACAGCTATCACAAATTGATTTAAAGCAATAATAGGTGCAGGTGGCTGGTCACTGGCCACTGTGGCTTGCAGTTCTGCTCTGTTTGTGCTTTGTCTGGGGTGGGGATGTGGCAGAAGAGATGCTCTCAGGATCCAGGTCCTCCAAGCCTCTCCCCAGCTCTGGCTGGCCAGCCAGGCATCCTTCTAAAATACATCACCTTCATCTGTGGGAGCAGGGACTGTCCTCGCCTCGGCAGCAGTTTGCACACTGAGTTGTGTAACCCTCCAAGTCAATTTAACACAATGTGGGAAATACATAAAGAAAAGCCCCAAAATGGCCTAAATCCCTGCACGATGGAGGCTTTCTGCTGGTGCTGGGAGAGATCTATAGCATTTCAGCATGTTTGTCCCAGCAACCCGAGTGTTCTTGCTGGGCATGGGAGCAGCTCTGTGAGGGCAGTAAGAAACCATGTACCGAGCCAAGTGGTTTGAATAACCAGAACTCTTCTTTCTTCTTCCAGGTGAATCCTGGTGGCAAGACGCTTGAGGAGAGGCGGTCCAGTTTAGATGCAGAAATCGACTCTCTGACCAGCATCCTGGCCGACCTGGAGAGCAGCTCTCCTTACAAACCTCGGACTCAACAGGTTAGTGGCACATTGCATAAACAGAGAGTGGGAAGGGGGCCAGCATGGGCTGCTGGAGTCAATTTGCTAACCGCTTGGTATTTGGTGCGAGCCGGCATGCCAGTTCCTCCTGATAGCATCCAGATGTGGCTGTCAGTGGGGAGAAGGGCGCAGCCCCTCCGAAGGGGGCACCGGCTCAAAAGCTGCCGTACCTCTGAGCGAAGGGCCTCTGATCCCAATTGTTAGATTGCCCCGGAGATTGTTAGAAAAATACTTGCAAAAAAATGGCATTTCATTCGCCTTGACTTTCCACCAACAATAGCTTGTGAATTGAAACCTAGTCAGTTCACCAAGTACTTCTTACGCTTCTATTTTCTTGGGGCTTTTTTTTTTTGGTTTTGTTAACTTTTATCTGTCACGCTGCCAGACGGATCCAGATATCTGCGTCTCAAGTTGTTTTCTTTTGTTTTTGTCGTCTAATCAGTGGCAACGAAGTGGCTTGGATTGTAGCTCAGCTGTCAGGGTGGCTGTAGCCCAGCAAGGCAGACTGGAATTCGCACTTACTCTGCTGTGTCTAGACGAGGACTGCAGGGGTGACAGCAGCTCAGCTAATTTTTGTCACTCATCTAGGTAGTGCTTGAGTGGAGCTATTTAAGTTCTGATAAGATGTCATCTATTTATCAGAGAAAGTGGTGACACCCCAGTGGCACTTTAAATAGGGCAATTCTTGAGATCTGTGATGTGCCCAGTTGTGCAGCGCCTTTGCTTCCTAATGTCAACTGGTCTCATTTCTTATATATGTACGGGTCTGTAGGCATGTGTGCAGCTGTATAATGTCAGTCCTAAGTAAAATCCCAAGAGTCAAAAGAACCAAATGCTGCATCAAATAACCCCTGCTCATTCTGTTTGTGTGCGCAAACATGTAAGAATGCACACTGTTACTGGGAAATGCTTTGTAGTGTCAAAACACTGCAAGAGTTAACTGGAAGAGGTGGGTACTCACCATTTTCCTTGGACATGCCTGTGGTCAGCTCCAGCATCTTCACAGAAACACATAACTTCTGTAACCACTTTGCTGAGCATTTGCAGTTTGCTGACAGTACTGCTGACTCTCCCTGATTCTCCTTCCTTTGGGATTGGGCATTCTCTGAATAGATTGCTTTTTCACTTTTATTTTGTACCTATAGCATTAATAAATAAATAAATCCCAGTGCTCCAGTGCTAAGTTCTGCACATGTATTTGAGGTTCTGGAGCATCGGAAGGCATAGCCCAAGCTTTGGACTTGGTCTGACTTCTTAAGTTTATCAGCCTCCAAGAAGATGTGTGCTTGTTCCTGTGGCTTTTTACCCACAGCTCAGGTGGGGCTCTGAAGACTTGTCCCCCATACCCAGGAGCAATGGGATGCTGCTGCTCCCTGGTACATTACAATAACGGTGTGCAATCCAGTGGGCAGAGGCAGCTGACTTCTATCTCTGGGACCAAATCCCAACTTTCTTTGTTCGGTTTATCGGACTTTTCAGGACTTGTTGGTTAATGTAGTGATGCCCCATGAAAAGTACAGCTATAGTAACTTCTGACTATAGATGTTAGAAAAAGAAAATGCCAGAGTTGAATGTATCGTCTGCTTTAATTAAAGAGTACTCAAACAAGTCCTTGAAAGGTGGAACTAGAATGTAAAGCTTTGATATTTTCCTTTGTTTGATCTGTACTAAGTATTAAAAGTGGTGAGTCATTTGATGGTCTTATAGTAGGATAATAGATTAGGCTGCAAATCGTAAGGTACTTACTCAGAACATCAGCACGTTTATTGGATTACACCTTAGCTGACCTTCCCAAATTTATCAGGATAATGGCTGCAGATAGGAAAATAGAGTTACGACTTGTTTTCAGAGAAGACGTTTCCAGTTATGCTTATGCGGTTAAAGCATTATAATAATTTTACAGGTATACCTTGCCCTTGGGGATACTCCTATTCTGGAATAAGAGAAATTTTATTGTTAGGTTTCTTTTTTATTTTATCTTCAAAATAGTTTTAAAGCAACATAAACTGTAAAATAGTCCTCTCTCACTGGAGTAGGTGCAATAGTGGGATAATGACAAGCAGTTTATTTAACATACATGACCCATTGGCATAAATTCACACAGAGGGATGTTCTTTTGATCCTTGGTATGAGTTCAGGGCTGCAGTGAGATGCACTGCCCTAGGAGGTGCCTCTGAAGCAGGGGGATTTGTGCCCTCCGCAGTAGGTTTGGAAAGTCTATGATATTTGTCAGAATGGGTGGGCCAATGTCAGACCTGGACAGTTCACCTGGGGCAGCAGATCTGCAGTTGAGGACATGAATGAGTATGGCTGCCCAGGGAAGTGGTTGAGTCAACATCCACTATTTATGGAGGTATTTAAAAGATGTGTAGACGTGGTGCTGAGGGACATGGTTTAGTGGTAACTTGGTAGTGTTAGGTATAACAGTTGGACTTGATGATCTTAAAGGCCTCTTCCAACCAAAATGATTCTATGATTCTCTGCACCATCCCTGCATTGTTTACCTGGGAGTCACTCTGATAACATTTTTTGTGTACTGGGCAGGTGACAAGGACATTGCCACGAGCTAAAACTGACCACTGTTAATAGAGGGCATGAGTGAGTTTTGCACCTGCAGTCAGCAGCACCCTCCATGTACTCAGTGGTCCTGACTAATCCAAGGCAGCTGAGCTGGGAACTGAAGGTAGAGGAGTCACCCGGGTTCTCCTGGTTGCTTCCCATCCCTTGGGCAGAGGTAGTAGGATGCTGTTGTCCTGCAGAGCTGTGTTGCCCTCTCCTCTGAAGTTAAAAGTTTGAAAAGCATTTTCTCAACATAGATCCTTTATGGAGCAGAAAAGATCTTTCCATAGCAGCAGGTTTGGTGGGAGGAGGTCCTTCTGCAAATTTGGTACCCCAGGGTGAGTCAACCCCCGTGTTGCTGAACCTCAAAGTGAAAATTCTCTCAGGCATCATTTCTGGTTAGTTCTTGTCTCTGCCTCTCTTGAGGCAGCTGAGAGAATCCCCTGCAGCAGAGGTTTTCTAAGCATTGATGGTTTACTTCATATTGGCCATCAGCACCTTGTGAGTTAGAAGCAGCTTTCAATCACCATCACCTCAGCCTGGGGCTGAGCCCATGACTTGCAAGTGAAAGTCTCTCTGACTGTGTCACAGAAACAGTCAAAAGTGATTAAAATGCTAGTTTTTCTTCTTTCAAAATTGCACATATCAAAAAGAGCAGAAAATTACAAGACTAAATTGTCATCCTTAGCTACAACATAGCAGTATCTGAGGATGTGATCTGGTATAGGAGAGACCATATTTCAAGAATTCAGCTGGGGCCAGAATTTTAGAAAGGACCAAACATCACCTGAGCTTGAGAGGCTTCTGTGCGACCTTGACCAGCGTGGTCAGTTCCAACCTTCTGGTGCAGTGAATTGAAATGGAGGAGGAGACCAACATGATCTCAAAATTACCATAATGGCAATGGCATGTTAATAGATGAGCTTGCCTTAGGTATTGTTTGAAGAACTGCAGATGCATGATGAAAAATCTAATTAATATTTTCCTCCTGTTTGGTAAAGTTTTGAAATGCTAGCGTGATGAGTAAAGTACAGAGCTCCTCTTGTGTAGCTGCAGTGTGTTTTCTGTTTACATATCACACCTTCTAAATTGCAGTAACCTATTGGAAAGCTCAGGGGCAGAGAAGCCACTGTGCCTTTCAGTGGTAAAAGGAGGTTATACAGACCAAGGTATTCAGGTGCATAACTTCCACGGATGGGAGCAGGGCCTATTCCTAAATTGGCAGAACCGTGATTGGTGGCCTGGTGCATGCTGTGATCATCTTTCTCCTCTATTAAAGAGTATTTTCCCCAATTTTTACCTGTTCTGCTTAAAATCCTTGCTTAAGAGATGACTGCAGCAAGGCCTTCAGAAAATAAATAAAAAAAAAAAAACAAAACAAACCATGCCAAATTTCAGCCCATAAAATAAATGCTTGCATTTTTTTAAAAACAAGAAAACTTTGTGACTCTGGAGGGAGGGCTTCCAGCAGAGGCTGTGAAAATGAAATACTGGAAATAGCAGCATACGAAAGCTCAGGATTTTTTGTCCCTGCTGTGAATTATGTATTGAATGCTGATTGCTTTGTCCAGAATTGGACACCTACCTTCTGAAACTCTTGACTTTTATCCCAAATTTCCAACAGATTGTCTGTCTGTCAAAATAGGACTTTGTGGGAGGTGTACTAGGTAGTAAGATGTACTTGGTCCAAAGCTAATTAGCCCTTTTTTAAAAGCAAATACCGGGTGGCCAAAATTTATGGAGTATTTAAATAGCAAAAAAAACCCCATGCCTTGATGGTCAAGATAAAATCTACTTGCCTACTGCTCTCAGAGGCAGCTTGGTCCAGAGGGGACTGAGCTGCCACTCTGGAGACCTTTTTCACTCCCAGCTACTACCACTATGCTAAATGACCTTGAACGTAGCATTTCTACTCTGCTTCATTTCAAATTCCCTCCTGTTCTTTTAGCTTGGCAACCTCTTCAGCGTGATTTGCTTCTTACTTCCCATGTGTGTGGCATCTAGCAGATTGAAACCTTGGTCTGGGTTGAAGGCCTTTAGGTGATGTGGTTGTATGAATAATGAAAAAGAGAAAGAAATGATTTTTTTCCATCTAACAGATGGGGAAAATGAAGGCAGAGTAAAGTGAGGGGTCTAAGGATTCATGCCTTTGTCGCTGCCTCTGTATCATTGCCCCCAGTACTCTGCCACTATTCAACACTGTCAGCCTGAGTGGATGGTAGTTTGAAGGAAGAGCAGCTCATTCTCAATGTGAGCTGCAGAACAATAAAAAAGTAAAGAAAATTAAATTAAAAAATCAGTGATACATTTTCATTAAGTTCCAAACATACTGGGAAATAATGTCTTCTAATGACTGGAATTTAAAAAGGATTTAAATGTTTGACAGCACTGGTTGTTATTCCATCACTTCTTTTGACAAC